TTCAGATAGTTAAAATTCAGGAAGAAGTCACTGGCCCAAGATACTACAGACAAAGAACTGCAGAGCAAGACCTCACTTTTTCTGATTCCATGTTTCTGGTCCAGGTGACTACCTAAATGCAGAGTAGCACAGTGCGGACAATATAGTTCACTTATATCAACCTGGCCTTTCTCAACAATTATGCCATCTTAGCTCAAAATGGGAGAAAAGAGTGGCTTGTTGCTGGTACAGTTTTCTACTTTGTGTGATGAACGTCTTGAAACTTTATGGAAAAGAAATTTGAAGTAACCACATTATACCTGTCCATTGCTATGAAACAAAATTTTGGTAGGGAATTAAAACTTCCTCAGAAAGGTGTGCTCTTGTCCTCTTGCTTTCCAAACTTATCCACTGCCAACACTGGAGCAAAAGTTTGAACATGAATTCTGAAAAGCTGGACTAATGTATACACATGCATATGTTCTGGACACCTGCTCTGAACCAGCTGCTCAGAGTACTGGGTAACATACTGAAATGGCTGGAAAACAGTATACAAAATAGTTTTAAGAGCCATATTCAAATCCCTTTTCAATTATGTAGACAGTGGAAATGTTGCATCCACTGCTGACATTTTAAAAACGTCATCTTAAAACTGACCTTGGGAATATATGTGAAATATAGAAAAGATAAATTTCCAAACTGCAATTTTCTCTCTGAATCAGACCTTATGAAAACTAACACCACCTGATCCAAGCAGGTTTAAAAACAAGTATCAATGAATTTGTTCTAAAGCCTCTATAACTGAAAACACAGATTTAAAAATATAAAAAAACAGCATGATAAATAACATAATTCATCGGGACAAACACATTAAGTGAAATACTCACTGTGCCTCCCTCTATAAAGTCTTCTGAACTCATGAATTATGAGCTATGAGGCATGATCATTTAGAATGAATCACACATAATATATTATAGCTAATCAAGAGAGTATCTTCAGTTTATCCTCAGGGTATTAACACAATGATTCTCTTCGCCATCATCCTTAGTTGTCATAAAATTAGTTACAGAACAATGACATTGTCAAAATGGATAAATGTACAAAACTTAACACTGATCCATTCAAACATAAAAATTTAATAACTGAACAAAAACATAAATACAGTATTAAATTCATATATAAGGAAAGTGATAACTTTCTTATGACAATGAGTGAAGATTTCCACGTTGACAGAGGAATGAGCTGAGACTATTTAAATTTACATTTGCCCTATTTGTCTTAGGAGTATAGAAAACTGTTTATCTTTACATTATAAATGCAATTATCAGTAGTTGCTGGAGTTAGCTCATCACCAGCTCATAAGAGCCAACTGTTAAATTTTAAGAATCTTGCAAGTTCTTTTTTAAACCACTGAAACCGGTGGGAATATTTACACCATAGGAACTGACAAACGCTTCAGATCAGGCCTTCACATCCAAAGCCCTAGAGTCAGTTTACAAACACACCACTAATCCACATACAAGTAAGTACACAGTACAATCAGTTATTACAAAGTTAATTCATCTATATAGGTAATAATGAGCTCATAAAAAAAGAACATTACCACACACCCAGAAATCTCCCTTGTATCATCTCTGAACTGATACTCCCTTCTAGAGTATTTTCCAGAGACAAATATTACAAAGGAGAAATTTTAGCAAGGGAGGAAAAAGGCACTTTTTTTCTTTTTTAAAGATTCCATATACAAGTGAGATCACACAGTATTTGTATCTGTCTTTAATTCAGTTAGTATAATGCCTTCAAGGTCCATCCATGTTGTCATAAATAGTAGGATTTCCTCATTTTAATGATGGACTAATACTCCATTATATGTGTTTATATATATACATACATATACACACACACACACCCCACATCCTATTTACGCATTCATCTGTTAACACACACAGAGGTTGTTTCAATATCTTGGTTGCTATAAATAATGCTGCAATGATCATTGGGGGTGCAAATATTTTTTGTTGAGTGTTTTTATTACCCTTAGATATTTCCCTAGAAGTGGAACTGCTGGATTACATGGTAGTTGGCCTTAATTTCTTGAGGATCTTCCATAAAATTTCCATAGTGACTGCACCAATTAACAATCCTACCAACCAGCGTACACATCCCTTTTCTCTGCATCCACACCAGCATTATCTCTTCTCTCTTTACTTATGGTCATTCTAAAAGGTGTGTGATGTTATATCACTGTAGTTTTAGTTTGCATTCCCCTAAATGCCTAAATGATATTCAGCATGTTTTTATGAACCCGGCTATTGATACATCTTCTTTGGAGAAATATCATATTCAGACTTTTGACCATTTATTTGGTTATTTGGGGTTTTTTTTCTATTGAGTAACAAGTGAACATTATAATTTTGGATATTAAACCCTTCCTCATCAGATATATAGTTTGCAAATTTTTTTTTCCATTCTGTAGGTTGTCTTTACACTTTTTGATGGTTTCCTATGGTGAAGAAACTTTTTAGTTTGATATAATCCCATTTGTTTATTTTGTTGCTTGTACTTTAGGTGTCATATCCAAAACATTAGCAAGATCTATATCAAGAAATTTTGTTCCTATGTTTTCTTATAAGAGTTTCTTTGTCTCAAGTCTTACATTTAAGTCTGTAATTGATTGATTCAACGTTTGTGACAGGTGTAAGATATGGGTCCAATTTCATTCTTTCACACATGAAAATCCAAGTATCATAACACCATTTATTGAAGAGACCATCTTCTCCATTGAGTATTCTTGGTTCCCCTGTCAAATATTAGTTGATCACATATGCTTGGGTTTACTTCTGGGCTCTCGATTCTGTTCCACCGGTCTATTTGCTGGTTTCTGTTCTATGAGTGCCATGCTGTTTTGATGACTATAACTTTACAGTACAACTTGGAATCAGAAAGAATAATGTGAGACCACCCCCCTGCTTCTTTTTTCTCCATACTTCTTTGGCTATTCGAGGTCTTCTGTGGTTCCATATGAATTTAAGAAATTTTTTCTAGTTTTATAAAATATGTCACTGGAATCTTGATATGGAATGCACTGAATCTATGGATGGCTTTCAGTAATATTAACAGTTTAACAGTATTAATTCTTCCAATCCATAAACATGAAGTACTTCTCCACTTATTTGTCTTCTTCCATTTCTTTCATCCATGTCATGTGGTTTATAGCATAGAGATCTTTCACTTCCTAAGTTAAATTTATACCTAAGTATTTTATTGTGTTTGATGCTACTGTGAAAAGAAAGTGAAAGTGAAGATGTTCAGTTGCGTCTGACTCTTTGCGACCCCATGGACTGTAGCCCACCAGGCTCCTGCATCCATGGAATTTTCCTGGCAAAAATATTAGAGTGGGTTGCCATTTCCTTCTCCAGGGGATGTTCCTGACCCAGGGATCAAACCTGGGTCCCCCACATTGCAGGCAGGCACTTTATCATCTGAGCCACCAGGGAAGCCCTTGATGCTACTCTAAGTGGAATCCATTTATTTCTTTTTCAGAAATTTTGTTGCTTACAGAAATGCCACTGAATTTTGTATATGCTGATATTGTATCTTGCAACTTTACTGAATTCACTGATCATCTATCAGTCTTTTGGTTGAGTCTTTACAATTTTCTCTATATAAAATCAAGGCATCTGCAAATAAAGACAATTTTACATCTTCCTTTCCAATTCAGGTAAATTTTATTTCTTCATCTTACGTGATTGCTCTAGCTAGGACTTCCAGTACTATCCTGGATGTAAGTGGTAAGAGTGGGCACTCTTGACTTATTTGTGATCTTACAGGAAAAGCTTTCAAACTTTCAACACTGAGCATGACGTTAGCTGTGGGCCTGTCATATATGGCCTTTATTGAGATATGTTCCTTCTAGATCTAATTTGTTAACATTTCTTATCATGAATGGAAGTTGAGTTGGAAGAAGGCAATTTCAAGTGAAAGATATAATCTGGAAAATCATTTTTAAGTAGCACCATCTCCCCAGGTGGCCCTGGTGGTAAAGAACCTGCCTGCCAATGCAGAAGACATAAGAGACCTGGGTTTGATCCCTGGGTTGGGAAGATCCCCTGGAGAAGGGAATGGCAACTCACTCCAGTATTCTTGCCTGGAGAATTCCATGAACAGAGGGTATGGTGGGCTAGAGTCCATGGTGTCACAGAGTCAGACACAAGTGAAGCAACTTAGCATGCACACACGTGAAGGTGAGCTGGCAGAAAGACATAATGTACATTTATGTGAAAGTAGTGGGAGGAATGGAAGGAGGAAAGTATGAAATTGTATGTGCTATGCAGCTATATAGGGTTATGAGTCATATGCCTCTGTACCAGACTTTAGGAAATAGAAATGGTTTAACATATTGCCATTTTCTTAGTATTAATGTGTGATTTTTGTATTATGACCAGTATGCAGTACAAGGTAAGTTTAAATAAATACCACAAAGTGATAGCCAGCACTTGATAACTACTGAAATTCATGGCATTTTTTTTTTTACCACCCTCCAATTTATACCTGAACTTTGCTATGAAAAAGCCAAAGTTAAAAGCCTCTCATTGTCATCCTATCCTATCCCTGAAGAAAGCCAAGATTGCAGGTGCAAAGAGGACAGCATTTGACAGCAATCAGATGCCATACAGGGTTGAGATGAATATCATGCTTGTGGTAGGAAAATCTGGCTTTTTTTTTTTTTTTTTTGATCCCAGTGATCAGTTTCAATTTTCTAATTATCATTTTAAAGTTGATTCTTAAAACAGTTTTGATTCTGGAAACTGATGATAGCTTGACTTGCACAAAAAAGTCTAGCTTCTTTGTAATTTTTTTATACTTAGAGGTTTAAAAAAAATTACACTTTATAGACAGATGAATGTGTCTAAGCATTGACCTTTGCCTCATAGGCAAAGCAGTGCACTAATGAAAATAATTGCCCAAATTAATGTTCAAAATAGGACTGCCACTGCAATTATATAATTTGACTAACCAACCTTTATTGTTTTCCTCTTCATATGGATATTCATTCATCCATTTGTTTCTAGAGTCACATTGATCCTGAAAGGAAAGCAGACAAAAACTTAATGAGAACTGCTAAGGGGTTAATATCTAAAATATATAAATAGTTCATACAACTCAACATCAAAAACACAAGTAACCCAATTAAAAATGGGCAGAAGATCTGAGTAGACATTTTCCCAAGAGAACATGCAGGTAACAACAGGCTCATGAAAAGGTGCTAATCACCAGGGAAATGTAAATTAAAAACCACAATAAAATATCACCTCATACCTGTTAGCATAACTATCATCAAAAAGAAAACAAATAACAAATGTTGGCAAGGGTGAGAAAAGGAAACCCTTGTATACTGTTGGTGGGAATGTACATTGGTACAGACAATGGGTTCCTCAAAAAACTAAAATTAGATCCACCATAAGACCCAGTAAATGCACTCCAGGATATATCCAAAAACAAAACAAACAAACAAACAAAAAAAACCACTAACTCAAAAAGATACATGAACCCCAAAGTTCATGGCAGCATTATTTATAATAATGCAAATAACTGCAAAGATAAGGACACAATCTGAATGACCATCAACAGATGAACGGATAAAGAAGATGTGGTAGACATATACAAGAAAAACTACTGAACCATGAAGAATGGAGTTTTGCGATTTTTAACAACACGGATGAACTTGGAGGGTATTATGCTTAGGGAAATACGTCAGACAGAGAAAGACTGGTGATATCACTTACATGTGCAATCTAAATAATACAACAACCTAGTGAAGATAAAAAAGCAACAGACTCACTGATAAAGGGAACAAACTAGTGGTTATCAGTGTGGAAAGGGAAGTAGAGAGAGACAATATAGTGGTACAGGATTAAGAAGCATAAACTATTATTATAAAATAAGCTACAAGGATATGTTGTATGACACAGGGAATATAGACAAAACTTTGTAACTATAAATGGAGTGTAACCTTTAAAAGTTGTGACTCGCTATACTGCATACCGGTAACTTGTATAATATTGCACTTCAGCTATACTCCAATTTTAAAAAATGTTTTAAAAAATGTTGCACATGTTGGTAACATTCTGCCATTGGAGGAAAGAAAAGAAAATCTTGAGTCTGCAATTTTTTTAAGCTCTTGATTAGTGGAGTGACATAATAAAAGTGATAGCTGAAAAACGGTTTTGGCCTTTGCCTCCTCTTTAACAGCCATGGAAAGGCGAAAATGGAGAAGTGCAGAAACAGAGGCAGGACTCCAGCTAGGGCACTACTGACAGATCCCGGGCACAAGGTATGAAAATCTGCATAAAGATAAAGGAGGGAGAGAAGAAAAAGAGGGATGAAACAGGGAGAGAAGGGTGGGGGTAAAATGACAAACTGGTTTAAAAGCAAAGTGAGTATCTGAAAGAGAAGTCACAAATGTTTCAGCTGAAGTAGCTGGCTCCATTATTCTTAGTAACTAAGAGACTGTTAAAGAAACATTGTTTTCCAGAGGAAATTGTCTCCTTTCACCTCTTTATAGCTGATACAAATGTGCAGAATAATTAACATGAATACTTATTGGTGACTCCATCTTGGCCAATACCCAAGTAACTTTTTAAAAATTGATCTGAGTTAAAATATGTCACTACTTAAAAATTAAACAAACATAAAGTAAATATTTATGTTGCATCTAAAAGCTTCCAAATCCCCAAGACCATGTGGATCTCAGCAAACAGAATTAAATATCGCTGGACTGGAGAGTTTCGATTACAATACACCATTTGCCCCATTTGGATACATCTCAAAAGTCCTCCTATTTATTCTCTCTCAGTATTATGTAACTTGCTTCAGAATTTCCATTTCACAAGGCAAAATTTTTTTTGGCATTCAGTTAAGCCAGCTTATTAGGCACAGTTCTTTTTTTTTTTTTTTCACTTGGAATTAAACTCAGAGGGGATACGCCTTAGAGTTCTTAAGCAGTACCCATTCTGTGCCAATGCCTACACAGGGAGTATCCAGCCATGTTGCCTTTGCATGTGTTTCCACACATCTGAGCAGAAAATGTGTGGAAACTCAAAAAGCCTTAAAAGAAATATACCAGAATGTATATGTTTCATGGGCTTGGTCTGGAAGATGAAGTGGCCCTTAATATCATTCCAGTTTTAAATCAATCAATTGATCAAGCAATGACTCTTTCTTCCTCCTGCCCTATCTCCTTTCATCTCTCCCTCTAGATTATAAAGATATGCCTCTTCTGACTCAAACACACATCCCCTAATATACTGTACAGTTTTCACCACTACTAGAAGTGCCACTAAGAAGCAACAGAACATAAATGCAGTATTTTAATATGACAATGACAAACAAATATTCTCCTGAAATTCAAAGGATAATTCTTCTGTTTTATATCATGAAATCATAATAGGCTATCCCTTGAAAGATATTCCTTGCTCTAGAAGTTATCTAGAACACCATGTTTCTATCAAATACATCTTGTCCTTTCTAGTCTTCACAACCTGTTTCAATCCATCAATTGCAACTTCTCAGCAGAAAGTTATCAGGTACTTCAAAACTCACTGAAGCTGACATCCTGGTTCTATAACTTTTTCACACTTTAATAAACTATGAACATTTTGACATGACATTCAACTCATTAATGCTTTACCTCCAAATTCATAGTACTCCATTATAAAGATACAGGATTATTTACTCCCTCATTCTTCTCTAGCAGTTTACAATTTTTTACTATTATTGACAATACACATCCTTCTGTGTAAATCATGTACATAGGACCTCTGCCAGCCTGAAGGATGCCTTTGGGAAACTAGAAAGGATGCTGGCTCTGGGAAGACATAGACAGACTCATTTGGAGGTGGGGCCTGGCCAGGGAAGCCCAGGGTAGTATTTACCCCTAGGCCAGGAATCCACATCCGACACCACTGTACTCAGCTGACCTGATGTGCACCTTTAATTACTGCCTTAGAATACAGTCACAGAAGTATCATTCCTGGATCAGAGTAATATAAGCATTTTTCAGCCTTTCAAAATATATTACTCAACTTGCTTTTTATACAGGCTAGCTCCTGTGGTGGCTCAGATGGTGAGGTGTCTGCCTGCATTGAGGGAGACCTGGGTTCGATCCCTGGGTTGGGAAGATCCCCTAGAGAAGGAAATGGCAACCTACTCCAGTACCCTTGCCTGGAAAATCCCATGGGCAGAGAAGCCTGGTAGGCTACAGTTCATGGGGTCGCAAAGAGTCGGACATGACCGAGAAACATCACTTTCACACCAATTTATATTCCCACCAACAGAAGCAGCACATGCTAACCCAGTTCTACTACCATCTACTTCCCAGCACACAGCTCACTGCCGTGCAAGCTTTATGAGATTAATAAAGGTTTGCCAAATGAGTAAGAGAAGCTAAGGATGAGGAAAGAAAAAGAAACTCCCTTTTATATCAAGTGTGTGGATATTTCTTAACCAAGGAATTTGCATGCATGAGTGCTCAGTCATGTCCAACTCTGTGACCGCACAGACTGCCAGCCTCCTCTGCCCATGGGATTTCCCAGGTAAGAATAACTGGAGTGGGTTGCCATTTCCTTCTCCAGGGGGACCTTCCCGACCCGGGGATGGAAGCTCTATCTACTTCGTCTCCTGTATTGCAGGCGGATTCTTTAATGCTGAACCACTGGGGAAGTCCAACCAAGGAACTAAGGCCTTAACTACGTAATTTGTACCTTTTATATGCAATTAAGCTACATACTACAATAAGCATTCAATTTTGTGAGTTATACATAATATCATACATTTTTACAGCATTAGGGGATTGACCAAGTATCCTAATGATAGTATTTATTCTGAAGCCAGTTCTACAAGTTGAGCACATCAACAATTTTAAGATCCACTTGACAATGATGATCAGAGGTTAATTTCATATGCAAATTAACAAGTCAGATAGTGGTAGAGTCCTTATAAAACCCCTGAATTAGATTCAAATGTTGCGGCATGGCTCTTCGCAGCTTTTCGTTGTAACCACCTACAGATTAAAAGAAGACTTCAGTTCATACTGTGGCCACCTGATGTGAAGAGCCTACTCACTGGTGAAGCCCCTGATGTGGGGCAAGATTGAGGGCAACAGGAGGAGGAGGAGACAGAGGATGAGATGGCTGGATGGCATCATCGACTCAATGGACATGAGTTTGAGCAAACTTCAGGAGATAGTAAGGGACAGGGGAGCCTGGTGTGCTGCAGTTCATGAGGTCACAGACAGACACAACTCAGCGACTGAACAACAACAGTATATTTTAAGCCTGGGGACAGCTTGGTACAATGCTAACTTCTGTTTTCCATTCAATTCAAGCTCTTCAACGAACACTCACCATCGTCCTTTGCTCTGTGGTGGCCACCCGATACTTTAAGTAGCACAAATGACAGAAAACAGACGCAGTTTAAGCTTGAGAAAACCTGTCCCTAGTTTATCCTCTCTTATCTTTTAGCATGTGACAGTAAACAACTCAATCAACCTTGAGGCTCAACTTCATTCTCCACAGAAGCAAAGATAATACTTGATTTACCTCTCCATCCTATACACCCTAACTGAAGTAATTTCTGTAATACAACAGTCTGCACTATTATATACATTAAGTACTCATAAGAATTATCACTCCTTCATCAATGGCCCAAATATTAAACAGGAAAACAACAGAAATTCCCCAAATTAAGACCACCAGATATAATAGATGGATTTTATTCCTGCCAAGGGACCTTTGGGTTGTTCCCCAAATCCCCATCAAAACCCATACCATGATATAAAATAGAAAATTGGCATATTTCCACTAACAGTTATTATCTCATCAATTTCCTAATTAAAAGAAGACTAAACTCTGCCAAACAGGCTTGTGAAATTATCCACTAAGTCCAGAAGTTTTAAAGTCCACCTTCCTCATCAAGAAACTCATCATGCTTGCTTTTGGCCTTCATTTCCCTGGCTCCAAAAGTGATTCTCAATCGTCAGGTGAGGAGAAACCAAGGGCAGTCATCTTATCCTAATATGAGAAACA